GAGCGAGGCAACCCAGGGCTCAAAACAGTCAAATTCAAATTAAAAGGTCAAGACACGATTCAGGTACTTCTTCCCCTCTCCTCACCTCCCCTTTCCCTCTCCTCGGCCTCTCGCCTTCATTTCTTTTTCCGAGTGGGAGCGGGGTGAGTTTTGTTGTTGTTGTCTGTTTGTTTTTCTTTTTTTTGAGGGGTGCCCCGGTGCACAGAGAAAAGGAGAAAAAGTTAACGAATCCCAAACAGGCGTAAAGTTTCCGCTCTCCTACCTCCTGTTCCTCGGCCTTGGCTCTGCGGTAGGAGCTCAGGTCCTGCAGATCTTAGCGCTCGGTTAGGTTACAAGTTCCCTGCGGGGGCTGGCGGAGAATGCCCTGTGTCTGGGGTGGGCCCGGGGGAAGGGTCACGGATATTTCAGGGTTGCCTGGGAAAAGAGGTTCCGAATGGATGTAGGGCTCGGGAAGGAGGAAGCCGGCCCCCAGCCGCACCCGCTCCCGGGCCGGGAGCTGGGCCTGGGCCTGGCTGGGTGGGCGGCTCCCGGTCACCAACACGGAGGCCGGAGGGCTTTGGCCTTGGAGCCGGTTCGGCTGCTTTGACCCAGACCCTCCGAGGCCCTCGCTTTCCGCTTGACCTTGCCCCCACTAAAACAGAGAATATTCCCGGAGAGAAGGAGGGAACCGCGGGGCCTCGGCGGTTTAGAAGAGTCACGTATCAGACGGGAAACCAGGACACAAGATGCGACAAAATCCCACCCAGAGAAGTCTTTACAGCGCAGTGGGCTGGGAGCATTTTTCAGAGACTAATGATTATTATTATTATTAAAATTTTTTGGTGGCATTACTTTTTAATAAAGGGAAGATATAAAGGGAAATGTATGTTTCAAATAATTTTTCGTTTCTCCATCGCCCTTCTTCCAAAGCGAACTTAACTCTCTACCCCTTCCTCAGGAAACGGAATCGGGAGAATAACTTGTCTTTCCGGCCGCCCTGCATTTTTCCCTGGACAGAGCCTCAGGTTTCGACTTTTGGAAGGGCTGGAGCCTGGCGGGGAGAGGACCCAGCACCGAGGGTCACCAGCAGCGGAGTGAGGAGGCTGCATCATGAGGGAGGGAGGCCCAAGCCGGAGGCGGCTGGAAGAGCTCTACGGAAAGGACTCCCAGAGCCTCCCCATCCAGGGGTCCGTAGGAAGGAGCAGTGGTCCCTAAACCCCCGAAAATGGAAAATTGGAAAGAGATGTGGAGTGTGTGACTTG